ACTCCAACACATCCACCAGACTATAGTAGAGTAATTGATATAGAGTATATGTAGCTATATATATGCTAGTATTGAGTGATGTGTAATGTATACAATGGATATAGGGTAAATTTAGAAAGTATTACAGAAGTGTAGTAACGGAGGTGCTCATATATACTATACAACTATAAATAGAGTGAGGCTTATATATATGTAAGGAGTTAAATATAGTATTATAATATGATTATATATAATTTGAGGTAATAGTAATGATATATTAATATGTATGTAGTGTATGGTATGTATGAATATAGATATATATCAATATATATATTATATACTATAAGTATAGTATAAGTATATATAATAATATAGTGATGTATAATATATATATATATACATATATATACATATGTATAGAATATGTATATATTAAGTAAATATTAACAATAAAACAAAATTTATACTTACGGAACGTGACGATGATCATTTCAACATCATTTATAATTATCTAAAATTAGAATCATTTACAAATAGATGTCAAGGTCAAACTATCAATTAAGCATTTGAATAAGGAAAACAGGTAATATGATTAAATAGGAGGCAAGATTACAGGTAAGAAATTAAACGAATGAATTATATTATAGATGATTTCACGAAAATATTTTCCATTGCAGATTTAAAAGGCTGGCGCCAAACACAGAATTGTTTTGTACTGTGATGTGTAACAAGAAGAGAGAGAGACCGAGGACAGAGAGAACCAAGGGAGCAGAGAAGAGAGAGAGAGAATGAGAACGAAAAAGAAGAAAAGGCCAAGAAGCATGAAGAACGAACCGAACCTCGCCAGCAAGAGTGCCGAGAACTTGTCCGAGAGCGCGACCGCGGCCAAGAGAGACATCACACCCGAAGCCAAAGAGGAGCGGACAATGAAGCAGAGACGAACGGTGTATGTGTCCATCGTGTCTTATATCTTAATATATATTCATGGTATACTCAAATTACATATATATATATACATAATATATCCATTATGTATACACACACACATGTATATGTACTCATACATACAATATTAATAAGTAATTAGTATATATTATATTATACTAATAAGTTAAATATGACCTCAATATATATGAGTATATAAACTACTACCGAACGTACAGTATGAAGCCCCATAGTACCAGATGAATATATAATAACGCTACCGCACCTATACTAACATAATCATATATACTATTACTAATATATCACACCTAAATAATAATATCATGCTCCTATGTTCTAAATTCACTAAGATATTTGCATGCGGCCTATATATATATATAATCTCATATACAATATATACCCTCACTTATAGATACTAGTAGCTATACTACTACTACTATCAGGTATAAGTAATATATTCATATGAATAGGATATATACGCTCACTCACCATATTTGCTACAACCACCGGCTATATATATATCATAAATACATATTCATATGTTGTATAATAAATCTCCACTACTAAACCTTATCATATTTTAATCTAAAAACATTAGTATATATATAATACTACTATGAGACATATCTTGCTACGTGAGTAGTATAAGCATGATAACTCTCTATTAGTTTATGATTTCGTAATTCGTTTTTAACTTTTCTTCTTCTTTTTTTTCCTATTTCATGAATATAGAGTATCGCATATAGCAATACTGTTTTATGATTCAACACTTATTCGACTTAATAGGTAGATAAAAATAAAAATTTAGCAGTTTTCTTTTAGGCTGCTAAGCGAATATAGTGCTATGAAACATATTGACAACTTGATAAAAATACATTGAAATACAAATTTAATATAATTATATAATATGCATTTGCCACCACAACAACGATATTGAATATTACAAATATAGTTTTGTTGTCTGTTGTCTGCCTTTAGTGAGTGTGTGTATTTGTGGTGCTTGCGCTGTGCGATACGTTGTCGTGTACGACTCGAGTGTTGTGCGTACTGTCCGTGCCGTTTCTGTGTCCTTGAAAACCTATAGTCCGCTGTGCGTTGCGTCGCATGCGTGTTTGGTCCGTGCCTCGCCGCCCGCCCGAGCACCGCGACCCGCCGTCGCCTCCGCATGTGTTTGGTGTGGCTGTTGTGTCTCGTTTCCCAGCGTTATGTGCTGTGTTTCGTGTGCTGTGCCTGTGTCTTACGCTGAGGAACGGCGCAGTCCAGATTTGTAGTAGCGCCGTTTCTTGGTAACGGACGTGTCGTGGATTCTCGTGCGAGGTGCCTCTGTACAGCAGTAGTAATTAAGCAAAGATAGGTCACTATGATATAGCTTAGCAGCCTAGATGCTATATACACAGCGCATAGCCGACGACGTTAGCTAGCTATTAGATATATTCTATATATGATCTCATGTCGTGGTACCATAACACTTCAGTGATACTATGATGTGTAGTCACAACCTATGTGGATATGCCTCAATACCGTCAGTATAGGTTAGTTCACATAGCTCATGTCACCCTCACTAGTATAGTAAATACTAGTACGTATCAGCCGCATACTACCTCATACATTATGCGTATGTTATGTATGTATGCTAGTCTCAATGACGTAATGACCTGGAGCTCTCTCTGCGCTCCTTAAAGTAGCTATTAAATAAACTATACCTAGCCCTCATATCAGGCGTCCTAACTACTAGCGCTCACAATAACACTCACGCTATTAGCAACCTATACAGTGAGTCAATATATTACTAGTAAAGTCACTCTCTATGTGTAGGCTGCCTGTTTAATATTGCCCGCACGTGAACCTCCTATACATACACACTACGGCCGAAACCGTTGCTATAGTATACCCCCAAACGTAAATATGCTTTACGCTATATATAAGCCTAAAGGTATACGCCACTCGAATCACTCACCCAACGCCTAGCTACTAGCTATACGTAATCACTCACGTCCATTCGTATATAGCGCACCTATCACTACTCAAACATATAGGCTCTCACTATCACCTGGCCATACTCGTCAGGTTATACAAATACGTATTTCAGGTGGTACTACTAGCCTCACTCACATATTGAGTGAGCTCTGATACTACTCGTGCTGTAATAGCCGCACTCACTGATGAACACTCACAATATACTATACCACGTAAAAGTAGTAAGGTACTATATGCTATTCTTATCACTAGCGTACTTCGAAATGGCTATAGTGATATGTGTATGATGTATACTATAGTATAACGTCTCTACTACGCTCTAGTACAAACGGCCGTGATATGAGTATAGTAGTGCTAAATAAATAATATTCACCAAGTACGTAGTGATCTATAATAGTGACCTTCGAGTGATAAATAAATATCAGTAGTATATCGAGTATTATGATATGGTATTTCTATCCTATAGTACCTCACAAGCAAGGTATCTAGTACATACAGAGGTCAATATTAGTAACGTATATATGCTGTGTGCTGGACTTATATATATATATATATATATATAAATATATATATATACATATATACTGCCATATTTTATATACCTGTCACAGTCGACATTTATCATTACTTGGACGTATAAGGCGTCTATAGATATAGCACTCACTTATCATTACCAACATACGACTACACACACCATCATACAGTCTCACACATCGAACTCATACTTATCACCTACCATTCCACCAGCAGCACACCAGCACACACACCACCACACAATCTGACACCAAAGCATGCAACTGACAACAAGAACCCCACACACCACAGGCCTACTACACTACACACAACACGCTGCTTGCTCCTCCTGAGCGCGTGCGGCGCTTGGTTGATCGCAAATGTAGTGGTATGACTGTCGAGAACACCATCTCGCTTTCCGTAGTCGTTGCTTGAGCTGAGTAATCACCTCGTTGGCACTTCATCACCACAATCAATAATAAAATATACCTCATGCACATTATTGCTAGGCTCATATGAGCTTAGATAGCATGAGCATATCATAGATTGATGACCCTGGCATGCCTTCACACATACTCAGACGTGAGATAGAACCAATACCTACACGAGGATCAACTGCATAAATTGGGAGATAGCGATCCACAGAGGAGCAATAGAGCTAAATCAATATACCTATATAGTATTATATATATCTACTTAATAGTATTATCACTTATACTACTATATGTTTGGGAGCCCGATCGCCCACACTCTGACCCTGCGCTCGTGTGATGGTGATTGATTGTGTCTCTTGGTGAGTGCACTAGTGCCTTTTTTCTCATGGCGGTCAAGGGCTAGCGCCACGCTATACCGATATCAAGGAATGATAGATGGTAGGTAAAGTATAAGGATAGAAGGATATAGAGGGTAGTAGGCGAGCCGTACCTCACAGTCTACACTTATCACTCTATGCGATCTCCCTTGTGTCTCGCTCGTGCGCGCCAATGCTTTCTGCATGAGCTGTGAGATCAGTTGGCTGGTAGATCAGAAATGAACTGTGCTCGCCCTGCTTCCTCTGCTTGTGCGCGCTGCGCCGTGTGGTATTTACCCAACTCCACGACCTGTATCAATGATAGTAGTCAGTCTATCTCTGGACTCTCGATGCGGCGCTGCGTGGTTATAT